TTCAATACCCAGAAATACTTGTTTGGGCCTATTTATCATTTTTCTTCATAACCATGAACCATGGCCTACATTACATGCCTTGAAAGTCCTTTCTAATCATACATGAATTTCTGAACAGAAGAGAATGTCTTCAGATTTCATCCTGCCCATCAGGATTAATTTTTATTCGCAAAAAGTTTTCTAAAATCTTTAATGCATGATAGAGAAAATAACAAAAGGGTGTTCAAGACGTAAATTCTAAATGACGTCTTGAAACCAAATGAGGATTCGAGTTGAAAACCTGAAAAGGCGACTCGAATATAAAATAGTGCAGCTGAGGCGATCACACAAATTCCTTGATAAGGCATCACACAATCCGCATGACCATGAAGGCTAGGAGTCGAAACACTTCCAGTAAGGAGCATACAAGCTACCCCATCAGATCAGTGAACATCAAAGAAATAAGAAGGCCAAACCATTGACCAAACACAATAACCTGAGACTTTTTTATCCTTTCCTTACTAACCATTTCCCAAATATAGCTTTGATCTTGACACTTGTCAATAACTAATTTATTGAAGGATTAATAGTGTAATTAATTCTTTGATGTCCAATGAACTCTAGTTTTATGATTCGTCTCAATTATGAAACCGAGAAAGAGGCAATATTTTCAAAAAAATTTGATTAAACATTTTTCAAAATTCTTCTAATTGATATTTTTCAGACTTTTGAAATAAGAAGAAGAAAAAAACACTTTTCAAATAAAAAAATCTCTCTACAGTGGATCTTGGTGTTTGACATGTGGTTCTCCTGACGTAAAGCTCATGTTTAAAATCAATGTTGAAGCAATAAAGGGCATCTTTGAGATTCAACATTGAATATTGTGGCATAATTGGGGATTCAACATCCTGATGCAAACGATCAGATCTTCTGAAGGCATTTCCTCCACATGTAGGAACAAGCAGACAAAGCACGAGGAGATAAAACTATTCATGTTGCATGCATCTTAGACATACTTAAGATCATCACATTCATCATTTTTTTACATATTTTTGCAGCTTTAGGGTCAAGTTTCACTTCAAGAAGAAAGATACTCGATTCAAAAGCACATTCAGAAATTGATGGTGGACACTCACTTCACAGCGAATGAGCGTATGTCAACAACCGACTTTTCAATTTCATTCAGAGTCAATTTCAACTTCACAGCGAAGGATATTGAACTCACAATTTTCTCGAGAGTAGATTTCAACTTCACAACGAAGGATATCTAACTCGAAGCTAAACTTCAAAACGAATGGGCCATCCACGGTTTCAACTTCACGATTAAGGGAATCGTGTCCACCCACAACAGCACAAGCTTGGATTTCAACTTCACGACGAAGGGGTCATCCACGATTTCAACTTCACAACGAAGGATATTGGCTACACACATCCACTATTTCAACTCCATGAAGGAGATATCGTACCAACGGATCCACGATTTCAACTCCACAATAGAGGATATCGTGCCCACGCAACCACGGTTTCAACTTCACGACGAAGGGAATCGTACACACAAGCAGCATCCATCTCTATATTGGATTTCAACTTCACGACGAAGGATTTCTAACTCAAAGAAGGAGTATATGCCAAAGACCTTCGAGTTCGATTACACTAAGCTCAAAGGCACTTCATTTGCAGCATAGCTTAAGTCAAGAAGGGCTATCTGTCAACCAAAGACCTTCGAGTTCGATTACACTTAGCTTCGAGGGCATATCATTTACAGCATAACTCAAGGCTAGAAGGGTTATCTGTCAACAAAGACCTTCGAGTTCGATTACACTCAGCTCAAATGCACATCATTTATAGCATAACTCAAGGCTAGAAGGGTTATCTGTCAAAAACACCTTCGAGTTCGATTTCACTCAGCTCAAAGGCACATCATTTGCAGTATAGCTCAAGGAAAGAAGGGTTATCTGCCGACAAAAGACCTTCGAGTTCGTCTACACTCAGCTCAAAGGTATATCAATTATAGCATAACTCAAAGCTATAAGGGTTATCTGTCAACAAAGACCTTCGAGTTCGATTACACTCAGCTCAAAGACACATCAAATTTACAGCATAGCTCAAGGCGAGAAGGGTTATCTGTCATTAAAGACCTTCGAGTGTGATTTCATTCAGCTCAGGGGCATATCAATCACATGGTAGCAACGAGGAACTACATTCTAGAAGAATTTTCAAGCTGATGTCTTTAATCGAGAAGAAGACCAAGACCCAATTCCAGGCTCAGCCTGAAGCCCAATTATAGTTACTTCCCAACAATTGTATCAAGTTTCAAAACAAAAAAAAGACCGGACAAAAATTGATTGTCTTTTTCGTCTTTTCCCTATTCTTGTTAACACAAGAATATGCAAAGAGGGGCAGCTGTAGACCCCAGATTTTTGTCCTCATCCCAGTGACCCAGCTCATCTAAGCTTGAACAACTTGCATTCAAAGTGCCGCTGCGCCAGAGCATTAATGCTTGTTTCCTACCAATACCTACATATGCATGTGAGATATTATCCAAAGTACGATCACATTGCAAATTGCTATTTTTTTATGTAAAAGCTATGTAAGAAAATGACTATAAAAAGCCGAATGAAAATGTAATAAGAGGGGGCCAGATTCCTTTTGTTTTTCAGAAGAAAAAAGGATCAAAAATAAAATACGAAAAAAGGAAATTTTCAGCAATCAAAATAGAATTGAATCCTAAGGTATTTCAATTTGTATCTTAGTTTTAAGTTTATTTGTTTAATTCTTAGATTGAAACTAAAAAACAGTTAGTATAATTTTTGTTCGTGGTTTATATACAATTTTTTCACGGTTTCAAAAAAAAATGTATATGAGTTAGGGATTTATAATTACTTAGATGCCATGGTATTTGTTGGGGTGGTGTTGTCTTCGTTCGGAGTTGAGAGCGTGAATAGCCTCCGATCGCGGTGGCCGACGTTTGGAGTATTTGAGGAGATGAGCGGCGTTGCTTGAGGGAGATGAAGAAATTGGGATTTGATATGTCGAGCAGAGTTAGAGATAGGGGAAGAAGTTTGGGCTCTTGGAAAGAAAGAATAAAAGAAAATGGAGGGATATGCTTTGTGGGTTTCACGCATTCTGGAAATGAAAAGGAGTGTTTTACTTTATATTTTGGTTTAATCAAACTTAGGGTCCCTATATTTTGGTTATCTTTTACTTTGGTCGCTTAAAGGGTTGGGTGATTCGCATTCAAGTACTCTCAATTCCCATTCAAGTACTCTCAATTCCTACCGTATTTTGCATAATGACCCCCAAATATATGCGTACAAATTACGTTAAACCCCATCAAATATTGTCGTGCTTTACATTTCAGTCCCTAAAATTCTATTTTATTATTTCATTTTTGGTACTTTAATTTCATTAGTTTTAATTTAGTCACTAACTTGTTATATTTTCTGTTTTGTTTATTCTAATGTTGGCACTTATTTTATGTCTATTTATTTTAGTAACTATTTATTTCTGATTTGGTATGGTTTTTCTTATTTTTTTTATCTTTGTTTATTTTCATTTTAGCTATTATCTTATATAATTTTTGCATTTTAATCCATATAATTATATTTTATTACAATTCAGGCTCCTGTATTTATTGTATTTTGATCCATGTTTATTTTTTATTTATTTCGATCTTAATACTAACTCTTTGTTTTTTTATGTTTTATTTTGCAACTTTATTTATGATTTTTAGGGATAATTTTAATTGATCAAAAGGTAAATAATTATGATCGAATTTTTAAATTTCAATTTCAATTTTTGCAATTAAGACAACCGATAAATTAAATGGTACCGAAAGGGCAGTTCAAGGGTGCTAATCCTTCCTTGACTGTAACCGACTCCCGAGCCCGACATATTTCTGGTAAAAACGCAAATCAAGTAAGATGGTATCCGATCTACCTAAATATTTTTAAATGATCGGTGGTGACTCTAACACATTTCATTCAAGTCGAAGCCAAATTTCGGGCTCATCCAAAAAGCGGTTGCGACACATAGAACAACCATAACTACCCCAGTTGACACAACGTCCAGTTGGCAACAACGTGACAGCACCTGCATGCAACATTCCAAATAAAAATAAAAATAAATTAAAATAATTAATCATCCAATCGAATGATAACACGTGTCATGACATCTATCATCAATGAAATATGACATCATTTGGTTCTAGTGTTAAATTTATTTTAATTTATTAAATTTAGGGCCAAATTGATAGAATATATAAGTAAAAAGATCAAATATATAAGTAAAAAGGTCAAATATATAATTATACCAAAATGTTTTAACTGTCATGTCACCTACTTTATTAGATGTTAATAGAAAGTGGCTTGATTGAAGCATTTAAATAGTTTGATAGCCTGATTGATGAAATCGAATCACCGATGGTCAAAATAAAGGGGTAATAGTTGAGTGGTTACCGTATAGTTTATCCAAAATTAAATAAATCTTTATATTTGTTAAAAAGTAATTTGACATTCGAAAGCGATAAAAAAATCATTTTATCTATCTATCTATCTATCTATCTATGTATCTATGTATCTATCTATCTATCTATCTATCTATCTATCTTTATATCTTTATATCTATCTATTATATCATCAATAATTATGAGTCGTTATGTCAATATTGTAAATTATTATGTTAATATTATAGACTATCGTATCAATATCGTATAATTAATGTGTTATTTGATTATGTTCGGGCAGAAATTATAGTAAAAAAACATTAATTTCTGGCATGCGACTGTTTCAAACATTCAACGTGAATATCCTAAATGTAAGATTTAACAAGGTTTTGATCATTCTCCTTTCTTCAATATAAAACCACTTGTTTGGTCAACCCCGTTACCCGCTTCCGCCATTACCTCTTCTCACTGTCCAAAACGCACCACCAACGCCTACTCTTCACATTAAAATCCTAATTTCTTAACGTTAATTCGCTAACTAAATACCGTTTTTTTTTGTTGTATCTTCCATTAAAAAATGACTCGACTCGCTGTTTTGATCACTGTTACTTTTCTTTCCTTGACCGTTACTCACGCCCGCCTTAATGTACCGGAACGGACCGTCATCCCCGAAGAAACCGTTACCGATTTACCCGGACCCGACCATACAACCACAAGCGTCATCGATCTCCCTAGCGAAAAACCCGACTCCGACTCCGACTTGGATTCTTTTCCACTGACAATGACCAGTTTCCGTCCCATAAACGGTCACTTTCCTAGGCATCCGCTGGTTCCGTTCCGTCATAAACACGACTGTCATTCACACAAAAGGTTTAGGCCTTCGAACCCACGGTCCCAGCGCAAGCGCTATATTTCTTATGGCAACGATATGGTATTGTCCGAGGAGAGAATTGGTTTTGTCACTGATCAGGTTACGTGGTTTTGATCCCCAAATGCAAGAGAGACGGGTCAGGTTTTTCAATAATGGCGCCAAGTTGAAGGAGCATGTAGACTTTATGAAGCCTCGTCACTATAACCACGAACACGAACATGACCATGACGACGAACACCACCATCACCATAGCTATCATCGCTGAGGAGTGGAAGATGAGAGTCGCCAGAGTAAAGAGTATGTGGGAGGGCTCGTGAAGAGCTTTCGCAAGTTTTTTATTAAATTTTGAAGGTATCATAACGTTTTTTAATCAAGTGATGCTTCTTCTGTTTTTTGGCTTGGCTGTATTTAAACTTGAAATGCTTATCAGTTGTATATAACTTGAAATCCTTTGGTGATGAATAATATGATATTATTATTCTCTCCTTAAAAATATATTTAATAAAATTTATATAGTTTCATTTTTCAAATTTTAAGATTTTTCTTTTTGACGTGGTACTTATAATTAGGAATAATTTGTTATATAATCCATTGAAGAATCATAGGTCCTTAATAAAATCTCCAAATTTTTTTTTTTTGGGGGGGATGATATACTAGAGTTATCGCTTCCAATTTACAATATAAATAACTTGGAAGATGAGTAAATTAAGATCATGTACCAACATACGATATATCCACCAAACACTAAATGGTTTATACGTGCAAAACTAATAATATGAATATAAACTTCCTATCGTACAGAGATATATACAACAGATTCCAATACCAAACACCACATTATTAAACACAGAATTAAGACACGGAAATTTCTGATTTGTTTCTTCATTTTGGAAACCTGTTGTAGGCCGAGGATGGAGCTTAAATGTCTGCTATTATCGACACAACACACCTAAAGATAATGCATAAAGTATAAGGAAATAGAAGTTGACTCAAACGGAAGTTGGCTCGAATTATCGACTCAGCTTCTATTCTAATAATATAAGTTCGTCACTTATCACTCACAAAGAGGTACCTTATTTCTGCTATGAGGGACCCAGATTATTCACATTCTTTCGATCAGTTCAGTACGATCCTGAACGGCCAATGACTTGAGATTGCACTTGATCAGTGCCTTAACGAAGTAACATGTTTCATCTTTGGTGTTTCCATCCGGTACATCCACCACAAAAGACTCAATCACCAATGTTCCTGGTCTGCCATCAATGACCTCAGGATGGACAGTAACAATGGATGAGTAGTTCTGCCAATTTGCACAGCATACAGGCAATTTTGCAGTTCATCAAACCAGATTATATCCATGTACAGGATTGCACTATTAAGGGACGCTGATGCAGAATTGGAACAATATAATTCTCATAAATTCAAATGTGAAAAGCAAAAGGAGGCAGAACAATATATCACAGAACAGAAATCTAGCACATCTTCAAAGATATGATAAACAGCATAGCTTAACCGTTTATGTGTATTAACTAGAGATATTCGACATCCAGAAAAAAAAACTATAGGCAGCCGTAAAAAGAAGGGGTTCAGGTGCCATAAACAAGAAAACATAAAGCATAAGTTACCTTTTAGTCACTAAACCATGGGTCAATTCTATTTTGGCCACAAAACAAAAAACAAAAATAAAAAAAATTGTCAATTAAGGCACTTACGTTACATTTTCATTCTATTCGGTGACATAACCTAATATAATAACAGTTTTTTAGTCCAAAACTTTTACATTCTATCAATTTGATCCCGATTGAACTAATTCAATAAATTTAATCCTCAATATTAAAATTCTATTAGTTTAGCACTTAAACACATCATCATCCTAATAAACCACTGCAAAACTTTGCTAAATATGAAAGATGACAATGGGTTAAAACTCTATCAAGATTTGGCACTTAGAAAAACTTACCCAAAAATAGGAAAGGGAATTCTTCAACACCATCATACATTTTTGTTTCTTCATTTGTGAAAATGTTGAAAGAACTTTAACATCCCAAAACATGCCTTTATCCTGCTCACCAACTACTTCACAGTAGCTCTTTCCCTTTCCTTTATCTTTCTCATCTTAACTCTCCTTTTCTTTGGAATCCCAAGCCCATTGAATCCCATTTCAAACCCCCACCCGTGACCCCAAAACAACCGAGGTTGAACTCGAGCCAAACCGGTGCTGCTGTCAAGATAAATGACTAATGATTTGTATAGAATTGAGTTCTTGGATAAACCTGGAAGGGCTTGGGTGCAAAGGTGGAAAGTTAGCTATAAAGGAGATGAATGGCATACTGAAAAATGATCTTTGTGGTACCACATTCTCATAATTATCAGGGTCAAATGAAAACGCAATTTGCAATTTTTAACGGGTTAAATTGATATGTCCTCACAAATTAAGCATCCGTCAATGAAGCCTAAATTGTTCCGGTTATGAAAAAGTGGGAAATCAAAGGGAACTTTGCTTCGCTTTGTTTCCACTGAGGGAAAGCGCAGCCACATCATAGGCTCGAGTGGTTTCTTCGGCTGAATTGAAGGTCCCTAGCCAAACTCTGTTTTTTTTTTCCCATGGAAAACTGATCTCTGCCGCAAATTTTCCCGATGGTCTTTTTCCAACACCTGTATCTTTTTTCTTCCTTTCCTCATCGAAAAATGATTGAAACTTTAAATCCACCCGATTCTCTCAAAAGGATTATCCATAATCAGGTGTTTAACTTCAAAGATTGAAAAAAATATATGCAAAATTACTACATCAATACAATGGGATTGATGAAAAGCTTAGGAATAAGAATTAAAAAAAGGTAAAACTCACCAAATCAACATACCCAAAATTAATATATTTAAAAAGCTGATGAAAAAAGAAATTGAAATTTTAAGGAAAGGGAAAAAATAGGACCAAATTGATAGGGTTTTTAAACATTAAGAGTTAAATTTTTGAATAACTTTGAATTACAACCAAATTGATATAATGTATAAGTTTGATGGCAAAAATTGTCATTATACCAAAGCACGTCACCATCTCCGTTGAGATTTTAGCACCTTAATTGACAATTTTTTTGTTGTTGTTAACTGGCCAAAATAGAATCGACAAGGTAGTTTAACCAAACATAAACAGTCGGGATAGATGAAAAGACAACATAGACAGAGGGAAGTTACAGAGCACATTCATTCCACTGGTCAAATTCAGCAGAAAGATATTTCACCAGTCAAATTGTAGGGATATATATATATCTTCCAGTTTTAGTTTACAACTCTAATTTCCAGTTTTGTAAGGTTATGATCCATCTCAAACACACAAAAATTCTTCTAAAATGCTCAATGAATCTGACCATTTAAACAATGATTTTGACAATTCATACTGAAGTCACAGAGTCTTTATCCGATGACTGGTAACAAAAGTTACCATATTCAATGCTCCACCTCGCATATTGCAGGGGATCATATCCAAATCCTTATTACATTTTCAAGTGATTTATGCATTAAATAATCAGACTGAAATTATCACAGCATATAATAAGAGGGGAGAAAGTTACTTTTAGATGAATATCTATATTTCAGTCAATATAAAGGTTGGAAAACAAAAAAAAAATTATTGGAATTCAACAGATGCATTTACAATTACGTGTGTGGTGTGCTGGTGTGTAACTAATTCAACCAAGTAGATAATTCATACCTTCAACCTGTGATCTCCTCCAACGATTTTCATACTCAAAATATGCTCATCGTCATCCAGATATTCTAACCTTTCAGTGCTAGTTGTCCCTGGCAAACCTGACTTAACATTGACTTCTCGAACACTACCAATCCGAAGGTCCCCCTGCACAACACACCTACTAACAAATGATTTGTATTTCTGCGGTTGATCAAACCTCCTTACTAATGACCAAACCTGATTGATCAAAAACCAATAGTAAAATAATCCGAAAGCGAGCTAAAACCGGAATACACGATATTTAGATTGGGTATGGGATATCAAATTAAACTCATTCTAATATAAAGTCGTCAATGTTCTACATAGCAACTCTAAAAAGAATACACGCTTCATCTAGCTCAAGGTTTATTTCGAATGTCCATAGCTTGAGAAATGTTTAATATCACATAACAATTCAACGAACCAATACTCTAGCTTAAATTTTCAGTAAAAAATTCGAAACTCTAATAAATCCTTACTTAAAATCAAACTCCTCATATATTGAATCCAAATGCAATGAGAAAAAAGAAGTTTAAAGGGAAAAATCCCGACAATAAACAGTCTCCTGAAAATTAAGCTAATTATTTCAAATAGGCGTCTAAAACCGAACTTTACTATATTCAGCCAAAAACATTACCGGATCTGTGTATGGATCGAGCACCCAATAGAAACCTAATCGATTCCATTAGCCTGATTTTCTTTAACAAAAAAAGAAAAGAAAAAGAAATATAAAATCATACGAGGTGAACAGAAACTTTGATGTGCTTAACGAGCGAAGAGCTGCACTGATTTTCATTAACCTCGAATTTGTGGTGCCTCTTGATGAACTCTCCTTCCATCTTACTGAAACCGTTCCCGCTCATGGTGATATAATTATTGGTCACCATCGAGGTAACCTCAGCAGAAACCGTAGGCCGTGGAAGAGAAGGGAAAAAACCGGTCAGAAAGCCGACACTGGGTGTTAGCAGGTGCGGGTTAGGTTACCGGAGAGCCCTAGAAAGATCCGAAATGAAACGCCATCGCCAGGTCCAGATTGCTTCTTCCTCATCTCATCGCCTGTGATAATTAATGATTAGCACTTGGCAGCAGGAGTTTTGATTTTGCATGGGTCCAAGGATTTTTTGGCTATTATTGTTTATTCGTACTTTCCATGGTGATTACCACTGATTAATGATTCACTTAGCAGCAGGAGTTTTGATTTTGCATGGGTCCAAGGATTTTTTGGACGGACGTACTGAAAGTCAAACGACTGCGTTAGTAAAGCTTGTGGTTTTTTTCATTGTTTTCAGAACCGGACTGGTTAGTAAATCGGTCATGTTATCGTTTTATTGGTTCAATCGATCGAATTGGTTCGATCGATTGAAAGAATCGAACGACGTTATAATTATTTAAAAAATTTAATAAAAATATCAAAATTATTTAATAAAAAATAATTTTTTATATCACAAGTCATATTCAAAGCAAGTCATAACATATATAAATTAAAAACCATAAAATCAAGTGAAAACAAAATGATTCAAATTAACTACAACATAATATTTAAGGTAAAACATATTAAATAATAAATATAATTATATAACTATAATTAAAAAATAAATTTGGGGCTAAAAAAATCATAACAAAATGATATTGTTTGGTTTAATTTTTTTTTAAAAACAATCACACGTGGCTAAGAAACATAGAAGAGCATCCCAGAAGTCTAAAGAGAAAATATGAGAACAAAAACAATCTCACATGACTAAGAAACATAGAAGAGCATCCCAACTAACTTTTATAAATAATAGAGGTAATTTGACATTCAAAATCATAGAGCCTTTAGGTGAGCATTGAGTGAACTATTCTTTTACTTCAATCAAGCTCGAATTTTAGGCTTCAATCGAGCTTCTAATTTTTATTTAGTTCAAGCCTTTTCGAGTTCAAGTTTCAATATTATATTTCGAGTTCGAGTTGAACTTGATAATTTTTAGCTCGTGAGTTTGAGTCGAGTTGAGCTTACTTTTTAAAGTTTTCAAGTTCGAGTTGAGCTCAGCAATACTCGAGTTCAACTTGGCTCGTTTAACAAACGACGTCGTTTGGTTTAATTTTTTTTGTTTAAAAAACAAAATTGACGGTTTTTCCAGGTTTTCAGCCGATTCGGTTCGAACGGTTCAACGGTTTCTGCCGATTCACTAATAGCGGTTCAACCGGTGTAGATTGAACCGGACTAGACAACGATTCCTCGTTGAACCGACCGATCCGATCCGATTTTCAAAACACTGATTTTTTTAGGGTAACGTGTATTTAGTAGTCTATCTATATGTGGATCTTTTTTAATTATTTAATTATTAATTTTTTAAAATCGCATTTAATGTTTTTTTTTGTTTTGTTTCTATCCTTGACTGTTAAAAAATAAATAGTATTAATGCAGTAATTTTTTTTTATTTTTTCAATAATAATATAACATTATCTTATAATATGTTATTGTCATATTAATTTTTAACATGTCGTTAAGTGATTAAAACCGAATCAAAATATAATTTTATGTAAGTTTTTTTTAAAAGATAAGTTATTGAAACGGAATGGAAGCAATAAATAAGTGATTAAATATGTAGTTTACATTTTTTATTGTTATTGGGCCAAGTTTTCAGGCCTAAAGTTTCCTGCCAATGATTTTTATTTGCCCTAATCCCTCCCGCCATCCTACTTTCTTCCTGTGAACTCGCTGCTCCCAGATTCTTCTATTCAACGAAAATTTAGTGCTCATTTTGAAGCAAAGATGACGAAGGAAGAAGCTGAAAACGGAAGAGCCGACATGGTGATTGATGGAGCTGAACAGCAAATGTTGTCCCTGATGGATTCGACACTAACTATATCAGAATCTACTATGATCAGAATTTTTATTTTTCTCTTACAGATTTTCACCATATTGTTTAAATATGGAATTTTCTTTTATTCTAATACTTTTGATTGAAATCTGAAACGAATTTAATGACAGCAAAGTTATTTCCTCATGCCGATTTGATTAAGTGGATGTCTTACGGGGTAAACCAAATCTCTTCTTCCTTTTCGTGTATATGGCCTTTCATGCACGCGCTTTTTCATATGCTTTCGTGTTTCCTCAATGTATTGATGTATATTGTGATTGCGGTATCCGCAGATGGCAAGCATCCTGCTTGCGACAAGTCCTACTTTGGAAGAAGGGAATTTTCTTTCACGCTAGAAAATAACGTTTATATCCGATTCCAGTCTTTCAACAGTGTTACAGAAATGGAAAATTCCATCAAAGAGAAATGTCCATTCAAGATAGATATTGGGCCTGTCTATAGCGTTGATGTAAGATTTCATTCAATTTCTTCTTATGTGCAGTGTATGAATCGTCTCTCAGTGAGCTCTGAGTTAAAGCTGGCGATTTAGTTGTTTTATTAGTTATTAATGTTTGCTGATTTATTGGTTGTTAATGACGACTTGTCTGTAATGCAGCCTGCTAAGCGGCATGCTTATGCTCAAAGTGGTGACAATGTTTTCACTCCAGTTGAGAGAGAATTGGTTTTTGATGTTGTAAGCTACTGGAATTATAGAAAACCGAGCATCTTAGCCAACTTTTTAAACATAGTCCATGTAACGTCCGCGTTATTTTACTTGTTGGATTTATGCTTTATTCTTTTCTCAGGATATAACAGATTATGATGATGTTAGATATTGCTGCACGGGAGCTGATGTTTTCTTGGAATGCTGGCCCCTAATGACAATTGCAATTAAAGTGATTGATACTGCTCTCAGAGGTAAAAAGTGGATAACTATGTTTTTTTTAAAAATCACTCTGAAACCTTCGCTGGCTTACTAAACTGGCCTAGATCACAAAGTATTCTAATTGGAACTTTGAGCTCTTAAGCGGTCCTACGTAAATTTTGAATTACTACATTGGAACATTTGGTTTCTTGAGTGTACATAATGTGTGCATATCTTTTTCTTACATCATCATTTAACTTCAAAGTTCTAATAATTTAGATGACTTTGGCTTTAATCACATTCTCTGGGTATATAGTGGTCGATATGGTGTGCACTGCTGGGTTTGCGATGGAAAAGCCAGAAGGTAATGTATTAAACAGTTCAAATCTTCATATTATTTCTGTTATTCCTTACCTGTATTATTACATAAAAATATTATTTCTGTTATTCCTCACCTGTATTATTCCTTAACTTCTACAGGCTGACTAATGAACAGAGGGCAGCTATTACTGATTATTTCCGTGTACACAAGGTGGTTAATGAGTGCTGTGAAATACCACTGGATTTGGCTTTCTTCCCCCCCCCCTAAATACCAAGAAGTCATTAACTTTGTACCTTTTCAGGGCAATGAAAATAGTCACAGAAAGGTATCTTTACCAGGTCCTGTTCTTCATCCTTTCTTGGCTTAAGTGATATTTTATTGTCTTCAATTTCCTTATTCTGGACTTACAATCTCCTTCACTAAGGCATATTCTGTTTTAGCAGGAGATCCTATACTGAAGTTCTGGAGGGATTTTTTGAGGCCAAACTGCTTCCAAACCAAAATTTACTTTCCTGTCAGGAGAGATATGAGAAGATCCTAGAAATGATTCCCGATGCATGTAAAATTTATACTTTTTGATGGCTGGCTTTGTCATTTATCTTAGAAGGTGCTCATGTAAGTATATTCTATTTTTGAAGCTGTTGCTTCTGAGCTGAGGGGAAGGTGGCAAGAGAATAAGCGAGCTTCCATGTCAAAAGATGACATTAATCATGTTAGGTGGGAGCAACTAAAATTTGTCCTGCAATCAGGTAAACAAAAGGTATGAATTATGCTCAATATCAATGTTAAGTACCTAATGGGATGTTGAAACCTCTATTTTACATTTTTCCCCCATAAACAGTGACATAGACCACTCTATTTAAATAGGTGATTCGTGCACTTATGCACTTTTGACAGTTGTAGATTTAAATTTGTTTTTAAATTAACTACTCTGACAGTGATGCTAAAATATACTAAGTTGGGATAAGTTTACTATGTTTAAAAGATATAATTGCCATCAAACAGACCATACTATTTTGAGACTCAATATCAGCGATAGAATGCTTCATAGATCCTAAGGTGAGACTACGACATGTGAAAGTATTTACAATAAAGGGGTTGAATCCACTGTGTTAGAAATGAGATTCTACAGCCTCAACATTCTCATTTTATCATCTATTATCAGCAATAAATGAGTTGGATCAACTAGTAGGCCCATAGGTTGAAGATCCATTACAAATTGATTGTTTTCCTGGACAAGTTCTAACGCATTAGAGATACGTTTTTCAAATATTTTCATCTGATGTCTGTTTCACTGAGAGGCAGAGTTACTGTATTTTAATCTTTTGAATTATTTTGCATGATTCACCTTTCCAGACACGGGGACTACGGAGATGTGTTGAAGAGGTCGTCTTCTCCTTTACATACCCTAGGCTCGATATGGAGGGCTGCAACAGTATTACACTTTTTGTATTGTTTTTGTTTATTATTATTAACATTATTATTTTGGGTTCATACTCTTTCAACAAACATAGGTTTCTTAGAAGTACTCCCACCCCCATTTCATAAGCCAGTAAATATAAATTGCATTTTTGAAATCAAGAAGTTCCTATATTTAAGAATATCTGTGTGATCCGTCATAGGCAACTGCTTGTTTGTATATCAGGTGTCGAAGCACATGAACCATTTACTGAAGGCACCATTCTGTGTACATCCAAAAACAGGTTAGTATTGAAATGTCTGTTCTATATCAGTTGTTATGAATCTGAAGATTGGCCAGAAATCATAGCTGGGTGCCTAAAACTATGAATGTGAATTATGTTATAAGAATCTGGGCATTTAAACCTAAAAGCTAAAGCACAACAGTAACCGCATTCAAAACCAGAAATATGATCAGTAGATGTATTTATGCCGTGACACCTTGAATATGTTCGGAGTTGGATTTCTTTCGTAATTGCTAGTCAGCTCTCTTAACATGTATGTGTGGATACATGCATACATATCAATACCACGTGATAGGGAATATCTTCCTGTTCTAATTCACAGGATATTTAAGGAAGAAACTTTATTGTCGCATACCCTAGCAAAAAATTATTATTCTCCAAA